GCCATGCGTCCTTTGAGGAACCACCACAGGGAAGCACGCGCCAACTCGTAGGGCAGGCAGGCTGAAAGAGGCTTGATTGTCTCGGCATGCAGTCTGAAGAGCTCATTGAGGTGGCGCGTGCGTGTGACGAAACTGTTCAGGGCATCTTCGCCAACTGCAAGGACCGCATCGTGCATGTTGAAAGACGCCTGTCTGGAAGCCATCGAAGGAGGGGCAACCAAGTTGTGCTGAGAGCTGACAGAGGCTTGTCTCGAAAAGCTGTTGCCCGCGCTCTGCTGTCCGAAACTGCTGCCAGCTGAGTACACAGAAGAGGGACTTTGGTCGGGCGGGTTCTTATGGAGGTCAGGGGACTTTGTGGGTGATTCTTTCAGTTGAGGTGTGGCAGGTGTGTAGCCAGCGCGCTCATCGCCCTGAGGATGAGAGGACTGGCTGGCTGAGCGTGCAGCCTCTGCAAAAGCTCTGCCTTCAGCCTGGCGCATTTCGGCCTGGTGATGCTCGATGAAGGACTTCCGGTTCTCATCCTTGGCGCTGGTGGGTGTGTCCAGGAATGGCGCCGAGGCATTATAACCCGGTGCAACCTCTCTGGGAACGGGAGGGGGAGGGGCCTCCCGTGGCTCGGGCTCGTGGATAGACGAGAAGCCGGTTTGTGTACGACGCAGACGGCCGGGAACGAAGTCGGAGTCTTCTCTCGGCGCAGGAGCTCTGGGGGGAGAGTCGTGAACGGCGGCAATAGGTCGGCGGCGCTGGTTGTCGGGAGGAGGGCGCTGCTTCTTGTTCCTAGACACCTCGATCGCAGGAATCTCCGACTCGTCACCACCTTCGCCAATAATCTCGGGGTATGAGTCTACAAAGCGAACATTCAAGCCTCTTCGGTTGTTGCGCCGCGGACTCCGAGGCGGGGGCAGACCTGGGCTGTGAGCAGGACTGCGAGCGGAGTGGATTGGGAGGTTCAGGCTCTGCTGAGAATGGCTGGCAACATTCAGAGCCTGGGGATAGCGGGTGGCTGAAGATGTATCCAGCTTCGTGAGCTGGGGAAGGGCGCTCTGAGGGGTCGCGTGAGAAACCTGAAGGGTATCGGAAGGGCCGTTGAGGAAATCGTTGATGTTACTGCCCGTCTCTTCGGCCGTCGGTTTGCGATCCTTCTCCTTGAGGGCGAACAGCTTGCCCATCAGGCGACCCCGCCTCGAGGAGGTAGCTGACTGCGGTTCGTTCTCCATTGTGTAAGGCTGTTGTCGTGGTACTACAATGACGAGGTCATGGGAGATTCTGGTCGAGACGGCAGTGTCAGCAAGAGCAGACCCGCGGAGTGGTGATTTCCCGGTGGGATGCTGTTGGTGCTGATATTGAAGGAACGGAGGAGCGTACTTACTTCGAGGTACTGCAGGGCAAACCAGATGAAGCTGCCCAGGCGCACTCGCGCTTGCACTTGTAATAATTTCCGGGTCGACAAAACGACAGTGGGAAAAAAAAAAAAAGTCAAGAAAGAGTCGAGAAAGGCAGAGGGGAGGATACGAAGTGAGATGGTTGTATATACCCCGGCCTACGAGGTGAGGTAAGTAGGCAGGTGCAGTGCCAGATGGCGGTTAGTGGTGATGGTCAGTCAGTCGACCACCTCGCAAAAAGGTAGTAGATAGGTAGATAGGTAGGGCAGGAGCAAGCTCGATGGTGACAAGGTGAAGTTGCCCAGAATTCTGTAATTGGCAAACCGAATCGGCAGCGTAGCCCTGCAGCCGAATGCTGGTATCGACGGATGGTTGACTGAAAGGCGGTCGGTGGCTTCAGCCCGAATGGGGTGAGATTCGACGTTGGGTTTATTGAAGAGGAAGCAAGGGGTTTCAGGTTCGGAGAGATCGCAGGTACGGTGCGTTGCGGGTGCGGAGCGTTGCTGTCGGGGGGCCCAGTGCCAGGGACGACGAGGGGAGGAAGAGGAGGAGGAGGTGGTGGTGGTGGAGGGGAGACGGGACAAGTACCACTGGGCCTCCAGAAAGTACTTTACAGCAGAGTGATTGCTGTGTGGGGTGCGTCCTGGGTTTCTCGCATCTCAGCGCCCTTCTCAGCGCATTTGAAGAGCAGATGGGTAAGGTAGAGGTAGGAAGGTACGCGCGAGGCAGGTTGGAGTACGGCGTACCTTGCCTCGTCGTGCTTCTGTCCCTCGTGCGTGGACCCTTGAAGACGGTCAGCTCGCCTTATCACTGGCCAGGGACACCGCTGACACCGCAGCAAAACCCCCCTTACGGACCCCGCTCTGGCTGCTGTACGACAAGCGAGGTACCGTCAAGTACACTACGACGCGGGCGGACTACCTAAGGTAATTAGCGTACCTGACCTACCAATACAGGAACCCGCGGTACGTGTCCGTACCTGCCTCTCCAGTCGTGATATCTCGAGGGCAACGGCGGTTTGCATGTCATGTCCACTTTCACGCAACCAGTGTCGTGGCTCACCTCTAGTCCAGGTCCCACGCCGGGCCTCGTGGGTGGATGTTGCCGTGGAATACGTGGGAGAGCCCATTGAGTTTAATGACACGATACGGCCACCTTGCATATGAAGTGCCGTGCCTTACTGAGTACCCAACACGCGCTGGAACCTCAGCGCACGACACAGAGACATGCCTTCCATTGGAGACGCAGCTCCAGCCGGCCGACGTGGGGCTTATCAATTCGACAAGCTCACGTCGGCGGCTGCCCTACGGCAACTGTGATTCCTTAAGACCCAAGATTTGACGACACCGCTGACGAGCAAGCAGCAGGGCGGCAGCGGTGGCGGCGGCTGCTGCAGCTGCAGCAACAGTAGAGGTGAGGGTGTCATTTTCGGATCATTGAACCTAACCTCGTCCCCAGTTCCAGTGCGCACATGGTTGGGACGGGATGCGGGCGGCGGATGCGGCTGGCAGTACTCCATGGCATTGGCATCTGAGGTGCTGCCCAGACACCCGCCTGCCATCCGTCATCCATCAACCCACCCATCCATCCCGTCAGCCATCGTGTGGGCACAGGCGCTGCAATGCAAGCTGTTGGTTCCCGGTCGTCCGTCCCTACGGCGGTATGGAAGCTATTCAAACCACGTCCTTCGCCATCGCCTGTGCGATGGGATCGCACGGCAGCATCGCAACGTCGCAACGTCGCAACGGCGTCGGACTCTCGTCACGCAACAACCCTCGCTGGGCTCAGGCAGGCTCAGGGCTGTAGGGCGGCCGTTCCGGGCTTAGGGTCCGGGGAGGATTGGAATCCCCTCCCCAAAAGCTCGGAACGCCCAAGGTCCCCTGTCCCTACCTTAGGCGCCGGCCGAAGACAATTTCATACTATTTTTCGACGTCCCATTCCCCGATTCCAGGGTGCACATGCTAAGGCTGGGGGGCTCTTTGGTCTTTTGGGTTTGGTCTCAGGGCCCTGGAGCAAAGTACCCCAATAGGTGCCACTAACGGCACCCGTGATGGAGGATAGCGGGGGCCAAAATGGACAGGCATTGCCGTCATTGGATCGCGTTTTAAAATAAGAGGATTGGTTTGGAGGGGGGAACGGAGATGGATAATACGGGGGCGCACTTGAGGGGCGCGTCCTCGGATTCAATTCACGACACGAGCTCCTGCCATTCTTTCCCAATCTGAGGCACTGATGCAGAGGCAGGAGCAGAGGCAGCCACCAGTCTCTGTGCTTCTTTCCATCTGGGCCGTTTTTTTCTTGCCATCTCGTAACGGACTCAGTAGTATCCGTCCAAGTCCGGAGCCTCTTCCTGCCTGCGATTTTTTTTTTTTTTAAACCCTCATTTTTTTTTCCCGTGATCGTGTCTCTCCCAACTCCCGTTCATGTCTCATATTCGTATTAACCACTGAGTCACCACCGTCAATACGGGATTGCTGGTCTTACGAGGACACACAGATGTCTCTGCCTCTTTCTGCGTCTCTGCTGCCAATTCTCCGATGACCAGATCCATGCTTTGTTTCTTTCTTTTCCTTCCCGCTTTATCTCGCCTTATCTCGCTCGTCCTGTCGAGCGTCTTATCTCTTCGGTGTGAGGTTCTTTTTATCGTCCGCCGTCGTCAGACGAAGTGGACTCACCTAATGCAAAGGCGGACTCGGGTTTGAAGACGGCCAAATACCATACCACTTCGCAGTACGGATACTACTGCATTCAACAGCCAAGGTTCAAAGTTCAGACGCTACTAACATGATGATGTGCAGGCCCTTGGTTTCAGACATGGGACGAATCTGTTGTCTGTCCGAACCTTAGCCCAACAGCCCAGCAGTACCCTTCTTGACCCTTCAGCGCTGCCGATGGTTCCCTGCCTTCGGTGCCCTTCCCGACTAATGTACCCTGCACAAGAGGAGCCGCCGCTGACCAGCAATATGTCGCGTGAGCGACACCCGAACTTTCGCGCCGAAGCTGTTCCCTGCCTGAGCTTGCAGCAAGCAGAAAATGAGAGAAAAAAAGATGATGTGCAATTTACAATGGTGCAGGCGACAATATCTCGCAGATTTCCCGTCTGCAAGCACATGCGACGGCCCGTCAACTCTGTTGGTGTTTCAACAAAGGCCTGCATCTGTCTATTTTCACCACCTACAATCCCAATGTTTTCAAAAGATGCGTTGCTGGGAAACGACGGCCTAGGAAAATAATGACGACATAGCCCGTCTCGTCCAGACAGCCGTCTTCCTTACCGTCAATGCAAGCCACCTGTCCAGCCGCTAAAGAACGCACTGCGCGGCGGCACACTGCCACAGCTCGCGAGTCATTTCACATGTCAATCACGAAAAATCAGGGAAACGACAGCTCAAAAATTCACCATATCGTATTGCTCACAAACCCGGGCTATGCAAGTACTCAAAATCGCTTCCGTCCAATCAATCCATCACCCAGCATTGACCACTCCGCGGCTGCATACATCATCCAGAAAAGCAACAAATCGTATGCAACAAATTGCCCAACATGCAAAATCCCATCCAGCCGAATGAAACTCAACTCAAAAAAACGTGTCCGATACAGCCTCACTTTGCGCATACTTTACGCATGGACCAGTTGCCGGAGCCTCTTCTCGATCTTTTCCCGTCCTTCGAACGTCTCCCATACATTATGAGGCGCGTCGTCGACAATGTCCCAGTGCTTCAGATTTCTCGTCAAGTGGCTGAGATCCCTCTGCTTCTCTTCCCAGACACTGTCTTTGCGAAGGTTGTCGCCGGAACTGATGAGTACCAAAGGCGTGTCCGGGTATTGAATCGCCTTGCCGCTGATAACCTCCCGCTTAGTGAGCGAGGCGGCCACCAGACTTTCTTGCAGCTTCGTGAACAGGTACTTGCCGCTCTGTCTGGCTGAGCGACCCCAGATGCGGTCGGCGCTGCTGCGCCCTCGGAATAGAGCACCGGGAAGCCGTTCCAGTCCAAGAGGCGAGATGATGCCGCGCACCCAGTAGAGGAAACCTCGTCCGGGATCCGAGACACGGTAAAGCAGGTCTTCGTGGAGAGGATCGATCATGAGAATGCCGTCCACCTCGTGGCCGTGCCGGGAAGAGAAGATGCGCGAGTACACAGAGCCGACGCCAGCGCTCGCCAGGATCCAGGGGCCATTCTCGCCGGCGCGCGCGAGGGCCTCACTCAAAGCGTCTGTTGCCATGCCTGCTGACAGCGGGCTCGGAGCAGTGTCGCTCCAAGCATATCCAGGGCGATCAGAGAAACAGTATCTCGAGATGGAACCATTCTTGAGGGCGCCCTGCGCAAGTTGCCATAGTCCGTTTTCGACTGGCAGATCACCGCCCTCGAAAAGAACACTCGGCAGCTTGTTACCTGCCGCATCGGTGCCGTTGCCTTCGCAGTAGACGTGAATGCGGTACTGGTCGTTGTCTACCCAGTACTGCTCGCCCGGCGGCCCATACCCAGCGTCGAGAGATCTGAGGATCAGGGTGGCGGTGATGAGAATAATAACGATGGACAGGATCACATATGCAATGGTCGAGAAGAGCACTTCGGTCCATTCCCATACTGTTCGTCTCGTCTCGACGCGACCTGTGAGGCGCTCTTCTTCCTCGGCCTTGCCCCATTTCACCGTGCGATCGGCAAGCAGCGTCCACAAGCTCATGAGGAATGCCCCTAAGGTCACAAGGTAAGTAATGATGCTACTCCTACTGGGTATCCGAGGCGGTACTCACAAATGACGCTGGCGACTCCCACGCCGCCCTCCTCATACCGGTTCTTCTGGATGGCGAGAATGAGAATGGTATCAGTGAGCAGCATGACCGCCATGAAGATGGACAGCACCCGCACAGCGGCCGACGGCGCTCCAAAGAACACGAGGGTGAAGAGCAGCGTGAAGAGCGACAGGCTGGAGTAGCTAAAGGCGTAGAATCCAGAGCCGCGGGTGTGTAGTCCGGGAGGGGTGACGAAGATGGACACCAGGTTGATGGTCCACCAGATAAACGTGACGCAGGCGAACAAGACGGTAGCCCATCGCATAACCCTCACCGTCCACAGGTTATACGGGGAGACGGCAGGGTCGTCTGGGGTGAGGAACTGACGATTGTCGCTGTCGAGTCGGTTCGGCAGCAGGCGGGTGTGCTCGTCCGGCTCTCGCGTCTCGTACTCGGCCGACCTCCTCTCCTCCGGCGGACCTTCTGCGGCGGCAGCGTCATCATCCTTCTTGTTCTTCGACCCGAAAAGCGAAGGCATCGTGAACCTCGTCGGTCTGTAATTGGCCGCAAATAACCAACAGGCGAGGTATGCAAGCCTTTCGATGCTACCTCAAACCTTCAAATAAATGAACGGAGGGGTAAAGAAACGGATAAAAACAAAACAAGGGGAGAAAAGGGGGTGTTCAAGGAAGACCGAGAAACGACAGAGACCCGGCCAGCAGGAGAAAGCCTTCTAAAAAATCAGCTAACGCGACTAACACAAGACGCAACCACTTACATCCCGCCTCCAGACGTGTCAATGACGGCAGGGGTGCTCACACTTGCACCAAGCCAGCACGCAAGCTGTAGGACGCAGAGGGCCAGAGCTCCCGGTCATGTCGTCATTGGGTGTGTTGCATGCGGCAGGAGTGGGGACCCCGCCGCATCGGCGATTTGGTGGGCCCACCAACACGGAGCGGTGCAGCACGAGCTGTTGGGTGGGGAGCTAACGCTCCGGCCCAGCGTGTGGGGGGCGGGGGGCGATTCAACTCTGAATTGGAAAAGCTGCACCGGTGACATTTCCGCAGCTGTTTAAAAACCAGGAATATGCAGCTCTATTTCTTTTCGGTGTTGGTGCGCAACCAACCGTATCTTCAGCTTTGGACCTCATGCATATTCTGGTCCTGCTAGTGTATGGGGTCGGACCACGTAGGCGTACTTGGTGTCGCAATCAGTGGCGTTCCTCCAGCATGCCTCTCCTTGGAAACATGGGAGTCGAGTGTGTTGGTGAGTCCTGATCCCACTCTGCTCCAGAGGATGAGACATCCTGACATCCTCCAGACATGTTGGCCCACGGCCTAGATCCGTCAAACCCAATATTTTGACCCATGCTCCAAACTCTTAATAAGGCGGGGTCTACCCATTAATGCGTTAAAGAAGTACTAGTTTCGAGCCCGTGGATCAGGATGCTCCACAAACGTCATCATCTTCGATCATCTTCAACTGCTGTGAAGGAATGTTGATCGCGTTGCGGGAGGGTCAGGGCATGAACTTCTCACATTACGGACTGGCCTCAGCACATTTGGCAATACCCTCGCGTGGTTTGTTCGGCCACTGGGACGTACTGATGAGCTTAAGCTTGTTTGTTGATTCACTAAAAAGGAGCCTTGGAAACAGAAGCACGTGGATACATGGTCACTTTGAAGATTTTCCGTCTCGTATAAGTATATTCATCAAGCAAGCAGTAATCTTTGAGCTCTGTGGCTTCAGAAGCGTAACGAATTCCAATGCGACTTCTGCGCCAGGCTGAACCAGGGCGTCGAGAAGCGGGTATAGTGCAAAAGCAAACTGGCTATAAGCAACTCGTCGTCCTCCACTCGGCACTTTTACGTTCGAATAAGGCGTCCTGACGCCCTCTTCTTCATACCACAAAGTTCTTCTATCACCACACACGCCTACGCCCACGGCGCGATCGGGTTGACCTCCCGGCTGCCAGACGACGATTCAGAAGAGACCGAGCTGGAATCTCTCAAAGAGCTGCCGTAACGGCGGATCTGCTTCCGGTTCACCGCTCTCTTTTTGGCAAGCTCCTCGGGCTCGGGGCCGCTAGACGGTTTGATGGCCTCCTCGGGAATCGCTCCAATGGGAGCGTGGAGCTTCGCACTGGCCTCAGGGTCGTTGATGGCGATTCCGTGCTTTCGGTACTCCTGTTTCTTCAACTGCTTCCAGTCTTGAGCACTTGGCTCTCCGGTGGTGAACCAATCTTTGACTTGGTTGAGGAAGCGGTTCTTGCTCTTCTTGGACTTGGAGTTGCTCTCGCGGCTGGACTTTGTAGGGCTTCCACCAACGCTAGGGGTGGAGACGCTACATTCAGATACCTCAGACTGATGAGAAAACATGCGTCTCGGGGGAGACATTCTCAAGCTCATCTCTGACGCCACGCGTCGAAGGCCTTTGGGATTCATCTCGGCGTCGTCGAGATCGATTAATGTACCGGGGTGGTTGTCTTCTTCGTCGATGGCGACGCCGATATTTCCAGAAGTTGTTCTGGTGTCAACAGCTGTAACCCCCGAGCTGGAGGCTGGACGTGGGGGACTAGGTGGTCGCAGGTGTACGGATGATAGATCGACTGATTTGGCGATCTTATGCTGGAATGGACGCTTCGGCTGGACGGTTTCCTCGTAGGTGACTGCGGGGTTTTCCACAAGTGGCTGGCTGCTGATAGACTTCTTGGTCCGGAGGGGTGTTGAGATGCCGAGCAGGCTTCTCCGTTTCTTCTTCTTAACAGGTGTCGGCCCCTAGCCGTAGGCGAATGCCTCTGGTTGAGAAATTGGGGAGAATGTTCCAGGCGACTCTGGGTCTTCTTCGCCCCGCAGAGGCACGTAAGAAGATGCCCAGTAGAATGGTGTATCGATATGTCGATAGGCTTTCGGCTGAGCCGTGTTCTCTGCCGTAGGAGATGGTATCGATGTCGGGTACAATGCTGTCGGGTATGAGAAGTTTCGAACGAGAGATGGCGGGTGGTTATGGCGATCGGGAAGAGGATATGTCTGATTTCGATGCCGTTGGAAAAGAGGCATTGTACGGCTCAGAAGGAGGTAGAAAAGTGACTTGCTTCTAGCCAGTCATAACAGGGGGGTGCTGAGGCAGGCAAACGTCTCGCAGGAGACGATGTCGCACGGGGTGATCCGGCGACGTATTGATACTTGGCTCGGACAAGATGGTGCACTTGTCAACTTAATTTGGAGCTGAGATCGAAAGGACAAGACCAGAGAGACGATGAGGAGTTAGATGGCTTGATTTGACGGTTAGGAGAGATGGTAGAGTTGCTAGGAGACTGGAATGGGTGTCGTGGGATGGGGGAGACCGAGGCTGTATATGTCCTCTACTGGTCGTGGGGTTGAAAGAAAGAGAAGCGAGGGTGTTGGGCAGAAATAGAGAAGATCAGCGAGCTGAAAAGGACGACACCTCGTGGCAGGAACGTGCCAGACTACGCCTGGCCAAGAGGCAGAAAAAGGAAGTTCCAAGAAAATAAAGTATGGGAGGCAGTGGAGAATCTCACAACCCGCGCCTGTCTTGTGCCTCGCGCCTCGCTCAACACCCTGGGCAAGCACGCAGGACCAGAGCCGGTCAGGCTCAGCTCACCTGCACCTTCCTTGGTTTTCTGCCACGCCTTCACCATGCATCAGCGCCCGCGGGCTCGTGCTGTTGCTTCTTTCTCGCGATTACAAGGAAAAAGCAACTCGGAACCACTTTCCCGAGGCTCTCCGTTATGCAGCTCGACGTCGTAAGTGGACGCCACATTGGTGACGGAAGCACTAAGATCACACGCTAGTACCAACGTTGGAAAAGACTGTGCGGTGACCTTCCCTGCCATTCATTGTCTGTTTGGAGCGTTTCCTGCGGCGAGATTCTGATACTTGCTTCTATCTGCTTGATACTCTGGGTAGGTACCTTGGGATGGTAGAGGAAATTATGGCTGGTTATTCGGCGTTTGAGTATGGGTGGGAGGCATGCCGCTACCCCGGTGACATAATGATTCCTCTCCTCTATGTCTCGTAGCTGACGGGAACTTGTCTCAGACGCCCCAAATCTCGAAAGGCGCAGTTTATAAATGTTAGCCCGCTGACGGCGCTGCGTTTCGCTCTTTGTTGCCGACTGTCAGTTTGGAAACCGGTCCTCCCGGGGTCCTGGGTCAAGATCAAGATCGACAGGTCCTGGCACTCGCAGCGGTAAGGCTTCCCGTATCGAGGCGCAGTATCCTTTGTCAAATTCATGGCAGGCTTCAAGGGGTCGTAGAAGACCAGGGTGAAAGAGAGAAGAAAAGGTGTTCCTCGCTAGCGACTCGAGTAGCAGGACGTGGATATCGACGATGTCCAATCTTCCTGTTGGACTACAATGCCAAGGGTGAAGCTACCGAGGATGAGGGCCGAGGTGAATACAGAGTGCTGGGCGAAACCAATATTTTCTGGCGTGGAACTGCCAAAAAAGCAAAATGCCATGCCGCTGCAGCCACAATATTGACAAACCAGATCTCAGACTCCCCTGCTCGATTGTGGTGTTTCCCCGGCTGAACCATCAAAAGGTCCTGCTGGCGTACGACTTCCTCGAGTCTCAATGGTCGGGCACCAGCATTCCGCGGGAGCTAACCGACCATACCTTAGTTACCTACTCTCAAGCGCAAAATACGGACGTACGGCCAAATAACGTTGTGAGGAATCATCTAGAAGCCGACTAGAATGTCCGAAGCCACGACTACCATCTCTCAACATCGAGATTTGAGGAATACGCTTGTGCCCGAGAGGTAGTTTGCTGATTCCTGTGGCAGACGTTTGCGGGACGTGTCTCTCCGCCTGTCGGCCGAGATACCAGCTGCGCCTTCTGCAGGCGGTTGAGAGCTGAAAACCCGCCAGTCATCGCGATGCGCCCCGAGGTGCAGCAAGTAGGTATGCCCTGCAGAGTCCAATACCTCGGATCCTGGTCGAGATTTAGTGGGGCTGGGGCATGTGCTGACGCAGGAGAGTACAAGGGAGGCCGTGCACTGCCCGCCTCGGCGCCTACTCAGATCTCGACGCTGCAGGCGCCATGCTCGAATGGAACTAGCCAGTGGCAAGCGTGCATTTGGACGTCAACCTTCAGCGTCTTTCATCCAACATCGACATCCACCCGCCCCAACCTTGAGTCTGAACTTTGACCGAAGTTGAGTGGTGCTCGGCCCAAAAGGAAAAAAAGCAAGACACGACGCACCAGCAAAACCAAGCACACGTCACTCCTGTACCGATACCGCCGGCGAGCTTCTTGCTGGCCCTTACATCCGGCGGCTCGTCGAACACGTCCGGCATCCCAGCCGTCTGAACTATCCCAAAATCTCACAACGAACTCCCCCTCCAAGTCTCAACGCCCGAAGCTTCTCCTCTGCTCCTTGAGCTGAAAACGGACCTTGCTGCACTAGCGACCCTCGAAAGCTGACAGAGTTTCCGCGCCAGCTCGCGCGGCGCGGAACCGCAACGCACGGTGCACCTTCAGCCTGCAGCTCCGATTGTCTCCCGTCCCTTGCTTGGTTTCCCCTCTCTCGCCTTCCTCTAGGTCCGAACCCCACCAAAGAAACACCATCCAACCTCTTCAACCCGAATCTTACAAACCACACCACCAGCAAAACAAACAAAACCAGTGCCAACTTGTCGCGAGCCACTCCAGCCTCGCTCACAATGCCTGGCCTCACGATACAAACAGACGCTCTCTCCCCGCGCGCATCGAACGCCCCGCCGCCATCTACGTCTGCGGCTGCTGCCGGTGCTCCAGGCTCTCCAGCCGCCGCAGCTTCCTCGTCCTCCGCGGCCGGCGCAACAAACCCCCCAGCGCAGACCCCTTCGCGCTCCTCCCGTTCATCGTCCCCCGCCCGGCCCCCCATCAGCCCCATAACACCGACCCTACCCCCCGCTCGTCTCGCCGACCCTGCCGCCCCCTTCGCCGCTGGCCGTCCTGTCTTCACACACTCCACTCAGCCGGCCACAGCCGCTACCTCGGCCATCCCTCCTCCGCGACCGGAGCCCATCGACTTTGAATCGAACCCAGACGTCCTGGCCCTCAAGTCAGCCATCTCCATCCTCCAACTACAACAGAAGAAGGCCGCCGCGGATATACAGGGGCTCAACCAAGCCAAGATCGCTGCCCTTGGCGACCCAGCAGAATTCCTTGCCGACCTTGGGGCTGGTAAGGTGCATGCCCAGGGTGACAAGTTATTCCCAGAGTCGGACTCGGATTCTGATGATGAAGAGGGGGTCAAGCGAGCGAAGATGGAGGGTGTAACTGCTGGCCAGGGCAAGGCACCAGAACCCAGGCCATGGGAATCTCTCCCCAAACCACAAAACGTGGTGCGCTGTCCGCCCATCAACTGGTCTCAATACGCCGTGGTTGGAGAGTCATTGGACAGGCTGCATGCGGACCAAATAGCGCGGCCAAGCCAGGGCGCACCGGCGACGATGGGCCCCAGCGGAACATACGAGTTCACGGGAGTTCCTGGAGGAAATCAGCGGCCGTATGTCGGTGTAGCAGCTCCTTACACTCCTGGTAAGGACAGGATCGACAAGAAAGCAAAAGGGGCTAAGAAATGAATTTGTTTGCTGCGTTCGCTACGGGGTATGACGCCCCAGCCTCCTATGGTTAGACTGGCATGATGAGGGACGACTTTTCACGGATGGTTATGAGATTATGAGGCGTTCGCTATGGTTTGCATACGATGGGATGGCGTTGTGGATCGGTATCGTTTACGAGAAGGGTATCAAAAAAATAAATCAACGTTGAAAAAGAGGCTTGTGACATCTCTTGAGAAGAGCTAGTTCGTTGCGTCATTACTCGAGGTATCTACTGGAGTCTAACGGGACAATCCCAAACCCATTCCTGGTATGCATGATTCCTGTGCCTTATAAACGCCATCCCGTCCTGTGCAGAACTTGATAAACCAGAATCCACGGTCAAAGACCAGGCCCCCTGCAGCTATGATTAATGGCAAACCCTCCAAAACTGCAGACTTGTAATTTCCTATGGAAGTTCCCGATCTGCGAAGTGGATTGCCTTTTGAAGCGTCAAATCTCTGCGCTTCCAACGCCTCTTCGCCCAGCTCCGAGAGCGCAAGCAGCGCAATTACTCAAAAATCACTGAGTTGGATTAGTAAAGGTGTACCCTTCTAGATCGGCTTTGGTAACTTACTCCATGCTTTGCTGAACAGACCTCCGGAGACGACGGTTGTAGTTCTTCCGCTCATCGGCGCCGCCCCAGTAGAGCTTGTGAGCCTCTGGGTTGACCAATGTGCGGGGATCGTAGGCGGGGTCCTCCTCTTCCAATGCGGCAAAGACCGCCTCAATATGAGAGCGAACGTCATCTTTGCGCAGATTGTTGGGGAAGTAGCAAGCTGTGCCATCCTCGGCGATCCGATGGTGGAAGATGCGAGTGTTGAATTTCACGCGAGGTTGCTCCTCGGGGAAACGAGGGCTGAAGTGGATCTTGATACGGAAGAGACCGCCATCAAGGTTGGTCATCGGCCGTCCAAAGTAGGTAATGACCCAGACGAAAGGGTTGTTGTCTTCCAATTGCACGTCGTGGGGAATGTCCTGGCGCTTGAATGCCTGCACGACCTGCTCGTACTGGTGGCGCAGGTTGACCGAGACCGTCATCTCCTTGTCGCTCGCAATCTGACCCTCCTTCGCCCACTTGACAAGCTCATTATCGAGGGCAGCCTTGATGTTGCGCAACCGTCTCTCCAGCTCGGTGTAGTTGAACTTGCCATCCATGGAGTTGCTAGCTCCTTCAAACGGCATGCGAGCAAACGCCTGGTGATCCTTGACCTCTGTCTTGGCCTTCTGAACAGCACTTAGGTAATTGTCGTAGTACCAGAGAAATCTGCGCTTGCATAGGTCCTTGAAGGGTTCGAACGGAACGCTGGTGTCGTCCATGTCCTCGGTGTCCATGTCGATATCTTGCTCAGCAGCGGACTGCTGGGCGATGGAGACGCCCTCGGGGGTCAGTCCTAGGTATTCCTCGAGGCGCTGGATGATGGAGATGCGGAGGGTCTCATGACGGATCTAGCTCGTATGATTAGCCATGCGTTGTCTCTGCATCGCCAAATCGCGCGTCATTTACCTTCTGCACATAATCCTTCTGATGCTTCTTGTCCGACGCCTCGTTTGCCTCTTCGAAACCCGGCTCGTTCTCGTAAGGATTGCTCGACATCAGACTCTGGATGGAAATAAGGATCGACTCGAGACCCTGCGCGGCCGACCACTCCTCGCCACGCTCGCCGCGCCAAGTGCTGTGTTTCCGTCAGTTCGTGTTTCGGTCGGATTGAACCATTAGCCATACCCCAAGATTGACCTGCGGCGACGTCAGTATCTAGCACCAAAGTATGCGCCCAGCGGTAGGCGGAGCGGGAGACCTACAAGCAAACCTTGCCGGATGCATAGATATTGGGATTGAAGCGACAGCGTCCGCCGTTCGTTGTGATGCCGTTAACATTGGGAGACTTGCGCGGGTAGTCTGCGTTGCGGTTAGTCCCTGAAGTTGTTTGCTTCGCAGCCACGCAAACGTACCCTTATTGAATCTGATCGCAAACTGGAACAGTAATTAGCAACGCGACACGCTGAGCAACCAGATGATTACCAACATACCTCGAAGAAACCGAACTCGTAGGGCGTGTCGTGAGGACCAATGATCAACGCCTTAACGTTGCGAACATCGACATCTCGGCAGGCAACGGCCAGCGCTGTCCGACAGGTTAGCGAAAGTGTCAGCCTGAGGAGCTGCAACAGAGGAAATTCGTACACAAATCTGAAGTGCGCTGGATGTCGCTCAACTCCTGTACGACGCGACCGTTAGCCTTCTAATTTCGACCCCTCATTCCATGTTTGGGGGAGGCGAGGCAAGGTAAGGTGAGGGAGGCGGAGGTGGGACGGAAGTGTGGCTACCTTGGTGATGCGAATGATGGATTGATCAGCCATGCTGACGGCTCGGCTGGGCGCTTGATAGCTCCCTATTCAACTTCTGGTGGGCTATATTCCGGGAAAGGGCGTCTCTGAATGTCGCCCGGTCTGAAGACTCCTCTCGTGGGAACAGATGAAAGTGAACGAAAGAGGGCGGCCCGAGAGCCTGACAGACGAAGAAGAGGTCGGGTAAGGTAAGTAAAATGGGTTATGCAGGTGAACAAATGCGCCTTCCGTTGGCTGGTTGGTAGGCGGCTTTCGCAGGGCGAAATTCACAGGCAGTCTACCTCTTTGTGCAGGCGCAAGACGGTGGAAGCAACTGGGTCGGAGTATGAAAGTGAGAGAATGGAACGTTAGGTTGAGGCAGCTGCTCTAAATCGGCAGTTTGGCGGGGCATGAGGGGTAATTTTAGCGTCCCAGTCTGGGTATTTGATGCAGGAGAATCGCTGCAGTGTGGTGGCAGCGCCGCCATTGCCTCTCTAAATTCCGTCCACGGGTCGCCTCCAGGTGCCTGCTACCCAGTACGGGACGGATAGCCCCACAGTGGCCGACGGATGATCGCTCCGGGTGCTGGTCCCGTCCTGAGCCTGAGCCTTCAGTGACGGGAGGTATCTAGGTAGGTAGTGACCCCGAGCAGCCTGGATGTCGCGAGACAGTGGAAGGGTTTACGGTATGCGGTTTCTAAATTCTCTGTTGCCTAGAAATAGCCTCCTGTTCAGAGCATCAACATTATTCCTTCCTGCAGGCTATTTGTCAAGGTTCCATAACCGCATCTAACCGTGTTACAATGCCTTGGACCAGCGGACATTGAGGTGAGACGATGACGGCGTATCTGCATATTTTATCAAGGCCTGCTGGGCGTAAAGGTACTAATTGATACCTCATCCTACTATCATGGCACAGCTTTGTGTTCATCCTTGGTTCTCTTGTTCCGTTCTATTGCAGGTATCCACAACACCATCGGGTATCGGCATCATACTTCCAGTTGGACGATATGTTTACTGCCTGCTTTGTTCGAGATCTAGCTGGCATAATTTAGGAGGAACTGGATTGCCAGATTTATAAAATTAACCATGTGGAAAGGAGTTGAGATTTCGTGCATTCGCATGCCGTCATGCTACCGTTTGATAGATAGCCGCATGCGCATATTGCTTGTCGACTGATTGAAATTTACAGAAATTTCCGAAATCGAGAAAGCCTGCAAGAAGCAGCAAGAACCTGCCTTCTTTTCAGCACACCTGGCTGGAGGATGCAAATGAGACGCCAGAGGGAAGCTTTGCGTCACATTCAGGCAAGGCACCTACCTGTCGGTGGGTCACCGCGGGGTTCCAGTCTAGGTAGACGCGGTCAGTTGAGACCCCTGTCGGCCAAAGCTACCAGTACGCGTCAACTCCACGGGCAACGCGTCTAGCTTAATTGATTTACCAACCGTCACCACGACCGCGGCACGACCGACCTACAGCGACAATTGACGATCAGCCTCAATTCGGAATCCAGCCCGACTGAAACCTTCGATAAGGAAACATATCACCAAATTTTAAATGGCGAGCTTCTTCGACCTCAAGGCCAGGAAGGCGGCCGCTGCAAACGGGGCAGCCCAGAAGCAGGAGAAGTCTTCCCAGCCTCCGAGAGCGCAGCCTTGGGTTGAGAAATAGTAAGGATTATTTGGCAATCACCATGAGTTCAAAGCATGCTAACCGTCGATGATAGCCGTCCAAAGACCCTCAGCGATGTCACCGCTCAAGATCACACCGTTACAGTCCTGCAGCGGACGCTACAGGCTTCCAACGTGCGTCTACCCACGATACGCTACGAAACCCACGAAACCTTGACCTGCATACTGACTCCATTCCGAAGCTTCCACACATGCTCTTCTACGGACCTCCCGGTACCGGAAAAACATCAACAGTCTTGGCCCTCGCCAAGGAGCTCTACGGCCCCGAAATGATGAAGTCACGAGTCCTGGAGCTCAACGCCTCCGACGAGCGAGGAATCTCCATCGTCCGTGAGAAGGTCAAGGACTTCGCCCGCATGCAGTTAACGAACCCGACGGCCGAATACAAGAAGAGATACCCCGTTCCACCCTTCAAGATCATCATCCTCGACGAGGCCGACTCCATGACCCAGGACGCCCAGAGTGCTCTTCGCCGCACCATGGAGACATACAGCAAGATCACACGCTTCTGCCTGATTTGCAACTATGTTACCCGCATTATCGACCCGCTCGCCAGTCGTTGCAGCAAATTCCGCTTCAAGAGCCTGGATCAGGGCAATGCCAAGAGGAGGCTTGAGGACATCGCACAGAATGAGGGTGTTCAGCTCGAAGACGGTGCTGTTGACGCGCTCATCAAGTGCAGCGAGGGTGACTTACGAAAAGCCATCACCTTCTTGCAGAGTGCGGCGAGACTGGTTGGTGCTGGTAACGAGGAGAAGTCGGCAGATGATGCCATGGACGTTGACAAGAAGCCTGTTGCTGTCAAGACTGTGGAGGATATTGCCGGTGTCATTCCCGAGAACACGATTGACAAGCTAGTCAGCGCCATCCGCCCACAGCGCGCAGGCGACACATACCAAAACGTGGCCAAGGTTGTCGAAGACATGGTTGCAGACGGCTGGAGTGCTGGACAGGTCGTTTCTCAGGTACGCAATGCCTCCACTTGTACACGAGGCCCCGATCTAACAAAAATCAGCTCTACCAAGCCATTGTTTTTGACGAGACAATTCCCGACGTTCAAAAGAATAAGATTGTCCTCATCTTCTCTGAGGTAGACAAAAGATTGGTGGATGGTGCTGATGAGCACCTGTCAATTCTTGACCTTTCGTTGAGAATATCGGGCGTCATGAGCGGCCGCAACAATTAATACAGGGAGTTTGGAAGATGTTTTAATGAAGAAGTATTGGCATCCGGACTGGACATTAAAGGCGTTGAACTGGCAAAAATGTGTGTATAGGGTATATACCACTCTTCAAATATGATCTTCATGACCGATGAGACCAAGATCCCCGTGAATGGCAGACCAAATGTCCCCAGACTTGACCGCTGACTCCTTCCTCTGATGTGCACCATGCCTCCTTGCTCCGGTCTGGCTCGCCGACCCCTGTGTAAGCCAGATGTCTTCCTCCGTAGTATCGCCGACGGCGTCTTTTTCGGACTGATTTTGTCCTAGAAGCCGGTCGACTTCCTGAAGGGCACTCATGGACCCTTCAAGCGCGACCTGGCCCTCCTCAATTTTCTCGGCTACCGCCTCAAGGGTTGCGATCTTTGCCGAATCAGCCGCAAATACCCAAGGCTTGACTCTCTCGGACATTGCCTGCTTTTCGGATACCGCAGAAGCGAAGTCGTCGGCGAAGCCCGACCTTGGCCTGGGTTTAGGCATGGGATGCTCGGGAAGAAGCTGACTTTCTTCTGCGAGATGGTCTAGCGCTTGCTGTGTTTCTTTCGCCTGCTTCGACAGCACATTGTTGACGTGTGACTTGTGCGCGATCATGCCCTTTTGCTCTCGGGATAGCGCCAGTAGCTTTTCGAGGTACGGGATGAGAAGGTGCGTGGTTGGCGCCGGCGGGATCTCCTCGCTCTGCGAAGCTCCCGCGGCTTCGCCTCCGGGTCTTAAGATCGGCTGGGTCTCATCAGAGACCATGTGAAGCAGCGACTTGCGCGCGGCTGTGTATCTCGTGTACTTGTCCCTGATTTCCACCAGTTTTTCGTCAATGTTGGTCTTGTCCGCTGGCTGCCCGTTGCGCTGCGAGTACGAGTCATCTTCACCTTCTCCTGAGGCTTTGCTGAGCTCAGTCTCGATCCAGTTGATGAGTTCGGCACGCGTGGTGTCCAGGGCATGCGCCTTGGCTTCGTCGCTGACTTGCCCCGCCAATTCGCCAGTTCTTTGCCGTACGTCCTGCAACAGCTGTTCTTCCCGTTGCAAAAGTAGCTTGGCTCGGAGGACGACCTTTTCCAGCTGCCCCGCCAGCCCACTCAGATCCGTCGTTGCTGACGAATTCGTGACTGTGAAGCTGTTGACAACTGCGGTTGGCACATCGGGAAGAGGCGGTGAGTCTCTGAATACAACTTCCAGGTCAAGAAAGTCCGGAGAGGCTGCCGGCTGGCGCACCAAGAGGTCCAAATACTTCTGAACCGTCTGAAGTCGTTGCTGTTTCTGTCGTAACTTTACTAGAGCTATGTGATCCTCCAGCTGATCTCTGGGATCTACGATCTTGGACCGTGATGGAGGTGGCGTTGCGGTATCATTCCGTGTGTTCTCATAGTCGTTGCGAGCTTTGATATTTGCGTCCAGAGCCCTGAGATACTCTCTTTGAAGACCTCTAGCTTCTTTTGTCGGAGTAATGGTGCATGACGCATCAATGAGAGACAGCGGGCTCTGGATGGGTCCTGGTTGACCACATGCTTGAAGATGAAGAGCCAAGGCGCGTCGAATGTAAGCGACCTGTTCTCTCGGCTTGATGTACGGCTGGAGTGATGCCTGAACTTTCTCAATGGCTTTCGGTACAGGATCCATCTCAGAGGTAGCCGGCCATCAAGCGAAGAAACTGGTGCCTGGAGGTTCGCTGATTTATTTTTTGGCCTCGGTATAAGTAAAATTTAGGAGCCCAGGGCCGGTGTTGATATTCGACCAAACTGAGTTGGGCAGGCATACACTACCTCCCTCAGGGGTGGTGTGGATTAGTTTGGCCTCACTTCCACCCTGTGCCGATGTCACAGCGTCACGTGAAGCTATCTAAGCATCCGGGGACAGCCACTAACGCGCTTGTCGCCTAGCGCCACCTCCGGATTTTGCCATAGCAAGCAGAGGAAATTTGTTCCACGACGGGTGTCGAAGACATTTGATACACGCCTCCGCCCACCTATCCATCCAGCGATACTTTCCCATTGAATCAACAAAACGCTACGACGAAATCAACAACTTCATATCGGACGGATGGTCTAGAGCTCGCGTTGGGTATACGGCGTTTTCAAGGATAAACACTCGGCGCAAGCCGCCTGATGCTGTCGTTTGACAAGCTCCAACACCTCCATCATCACTCTTAGACTCGAGCGCAACCGAAACGATACGATACCCCTCCACCCACAGCCAAGATGTCGGACCAACACCGCGATGTCTCTCAGTACAAGTACTCGGCCATGTCCAACCTGGTCCTCCAGGCGGACCGTCGTTTCGTGTCGCGACGAAACGATGAGGCCACTGGCGATCCCGAGTCTCTCGCCGGCAAGCTGAGTATTCGCGACATGGGAGCACGCGTCGCGCGCGACTCGGCCCCGAAGCAGAAGAAACAGACCGGGCTGCCCGAAATCGAGCGCGGAAGGTTACAGGAGGGCGAGGATGTGCTGCTGCGCGAGCAGCGCAAGAGGAAGAGCGAGGCGGCGCAAGCGAGGGGAACAGGTGTCTTGGGAACCGGAGACCTGCTCATCGAGGGCATCAACTATCGTCCGAGAACGGCAGCGACCCGAGCCACATACGAGTTGATCCTGAAGATCGTATCCGACAATCTAGGCGACGTGCCCCAGTCAACCGTCTTGAGTGCTGCGGATGTAGTCCTGGAATACCTCAAAGATGACGACCTCAAGGACACGGAAAGGAAGAACGAAGTCGACGACATCCTCGGTGTTTCAATGAGCCCTAAAGAGTTCAACGAGCTCGTAAACCTGGGGAAAAAGATCACAGACTACGATGCGCAAGACGAGGACGAGGACATGGATGCTAACGCAGCTGATGCTGACGGAGCCGAAATGGACGAGAGACAGGGTGTTGCAGTCGTCTTCGAGGATTCCGAAGATGAAGAGGGCGGCATCGTCAACGAGGTCCGAGAGGAGTCTTCTGAAGACGAGGAAGCTGACGAGGAAGACGAAGACAAGGAAGCTCAAGACGGTGCCGACAAGGAGGACATGGACGACGATGCCATGATTATCGATTCGGCGCCGAAGAAACAAGCACAAGACGGCAAGCCCACGAAAACTGTGCCCGCAAGAGATATCGACGCGTTCTGGTTGCAGCGGCAGATCGGAAAGCTGTACGAGGATTCCCACGAACAACACGATAAGGCGACACATGCTCTTCGCATCCTCTCCGGCGAGCCAGACGAGCAAGGTGGAGATGAAAAGTCGCTTCGTGAGATCGAAAACGACCTCATGGAGCTCTTTGATTACGAACATCATGAACTGGTCCAGCTGCTCATCGAGAACCGGGAGAAGGTTGTATGGTTGACCCGCCACTCAAGAGCTGAGACGGAAGAGGCCAAGGCTGTGGTGGAACGCGAGATGGCTTCGGAGGGCCTTCAGTGGATTCTCAACGAGAAGTTCGGCAAGAAGACGGATGAAAAGCGGAAGATGGAGATTAAGATGGACATCGACAACACGTCATCACTTAACAACGCACCCGCACCTGAACCAGAACGCCCTCAGGGCTTGGTCGGTGGGCTGCAGCCGCGGAAGCTGATCAACCTGGAGAACTTAGTGTTTGACCAGGGCAACCATCTGATGAGCAATCCCAAGGTCCGGCTACCTGAGGGCTCAACAAAACGGACCTTCAAGGGCTACGAGGAAATCCACGTCCCTGCGCCCAAGAAACGCAACGAGCCAGGCGACTCTCTCATTCCCATCACTGATATGCCCGAATGGTCCCGTCTGCCTTTCAGCACTGCCAAGTCTTTGAACAAGATCCAGTCCAAGTGCTACCCAACAGCGTTCGGAGACGACGGCAACATGCTTATCTGTGCTCCAACTGGTAGTGGAAAGACGAACGTGGCTATGCTTACCATTTTGCGAGAGCTTGGCAAGAACCGCAATCCTGAGACTGGTGATATCGACCTGGACGCCTTCAAGATTGTGTATATCGCTCCTTTGAAGGCTCTGGTTCAAGAACAAGTCGGCAACTTCGGCAAGAGGCTTGAGCCTTACGGCGTCAAGGTATCTGAATTGACTGGTGATCGACAACTCACCAAGCAACAAATTGCTGAAACCCAGATTATCGTCACCACGCCTGAGAAGTGGGACGTCATCACGAGAAAGGCGACAGATATAACTTACACGAACTTGGTTCGTTTGGTTATTATCGACGAGATCCATCTGCTCCACGACGACCGTGGTCCGGTTCTCGAGAGCATCGTCAGTAGAACCATTCGCAAGACTGAGCAGACTGGCGAGCCTGTTCGTCTGGTTGGGTTGTCCGCAACGCTGCCCAACTACAAGGATGTCGCTAGCTTCCTCCGTGTGGACATCAACAGCGGCCTTTTCCACTTTGACGGCAGCTTCCGTCCTTGCCCCCTGCGCCAGGAATTCATTGGCGTCACGGATCGCAAGGCCATCAAGCAGTTGAAGACCATGAACGACGTCACCTACAACAAGGTTATTGAGCATGTTGGCGCCAATAGGAACCAGATGCTCATCTTCGTTCACTCGCGAAAGGAAACTGCCAAGACTGCCCGGTACATCAGAGACAAGGCGCTCGAGATGGATACTATAAATCAGATCCTACGTCACGATGCCGGTAGTCGTGAAGTGCTCAATGAGGCCGCCAGTCAAGCTACCGATAAGGATCTGAAAGACATCCTACCCTACGGTTTCGGTATCCACCACGCTGGTATGAACCGTATTGATCGTACCGATGTCGAGGATCTGTTCGCCAGAGGTGCTATCCAAGTTTTGGTCTGCACAGCCACCCTCGCCTGGGGTGTCAATTTGCCCGCTCATACTGTCATCATCAAGGGAACCTCGGTTTACTCTCCAGAGAAGGGTAGCTGGGTCGAGCTTAGTCCCCAGGACGTCTTGCAGATGCTTGGTCGTGCCGGTCGCCCGCAATTCGACACATACGGAGAAGGTATCATCATTACGACTCAAAACGAGATCCAGTACTATTTGTCACTTCTCAACCAACAATTACCGATTGAGAGTCAGTTCGTCAGTCGCCTAGTGGACAACCTGAATGCTGAGATCGTGCTCGGTAATGTCAGGAGTAGAGATGAGGGTGTCGAGTGGCTTGGCTACACGTACCTGTTTGTCCGTATGCTGCGGTCTCCAGGTCTTTACCAAGTTGGTGCGGAATATGAAGACGATGAAGCTTTGGAACAAAAACGAGTCGACCTCATCCACTCCGCGGCGACGGTCCTCAGAAAGTCAAATCTCGTCAAGTATGACGAGAAAACCGGAAGGCTCCAGTCAACAGAACTTGGTCGCATCGCGTCGCACTACTACATCACCCATGGTTCCATGGACACCTACAACAACCTCATCCAGCCGTCCATTACGACCATCGAGCTTTTCCGTGTCTTCTCGCTCAGCGCAGAATTCAAGTACATTCCAATTCGCCAAGACGAGAAGCTCGAGCTTGCCAAGTTGCTGGGCAGAGTTCCTATTCCGGTCAAGGAGAGCATTGAGGAGCCTCACGCCAAGATCAACGTGCTTCTGCAGGCCTACATCTCACGACTCAAGCTGGACGGCCTTGCTCTTATGGCTGATATGGTCTACGTCACTCAGTCTGCTGGTCGTATCTTGCGCGCCATCTTTGAAATCACTATGAAGAAGGGATGGGCGTCTGTCGCGAAGACCGCACTGGACCTCTGCAAGATGGCTGAGAAGAGGATGTGGCCCACAATGTCGCCACTCCGCCAATTCCCCAGTTGTCCAAGGGATATTGTGCAAAAGTCGGAGAGAATTGAGGTGTCTTGGAGTAGCTACTTTGACCTCGATCCTCCTCGCATGGGTGAGCTTCTCGGTATGCCTAAGGCCGGTAGGACTGTCTGCGGGCTGGTTGCCAAGTTCCCCAGGGTTGAGGTACAGGCGCAAGTTCAGCCGTTGACCAGATCTATGCTTCGAGTCGAGCTCAGCATTACGCCCAATTTTGAGTGGGATGTTGAAGTTCACGGCCCCGCAGAGAGCTTCTGGGTTTTCGTCGAAGATTGCGATGGCGAGGATATCCTCTTCAGCGATCAATTCCTGCTTCGTAAGGAGTACGCTGAGTCCGAATCCAACGAGCACATCGTTGACTTTACGGTTCCGATCACGGAACCCATGCCTCCAAACTATTTCATTTCCGTCATCTCGGACCGCTGGATGCACTCGGAAACAAGACTACCCGTGTCCTTCCATAAGCTGATTCTGCCCGAGAGGTTTCCTCCTCATACCGAGCTTCTCGAGCTTCAGCCGCTGCCTGTTTCCGCCCTGAAGGTCAAGGAGTACACCAAGCTGTATCCCAGTTGGGACAACTTCAACCGCATTCAGACACAAACCTTCAACTCTCTGTACAACACCGACCAAAACGTCTTTGTTGGTGCGCCAACAGGCAGTGGCAAGACTGTGTGCGCCGAATTCTCGCTTCTGCGTCATTGGTCTAAGCCCGATGCTGGTCGCGCCGTCTACATAGCACCCTTCCAGGAGCTGGTTGACTTGCGCCTGGATGACTGGCAGAAGCGACTGAATGGCTTGCGTGGCGGCAAGACTATCGAGAAGCTCACAGGAGAGACAACAACGGACCTGAAGATTCTGGAACGTAGCGACCTAGTCCTC